ACCAGACTACACAGCGCAACAACCCAGAAGACAGAAATCTTCATACTCACCGCTGTGAAAACCTCAAATCTTACATTATAATTCTTATTTAAATAGCCTATGATCCCATTCAGTTAGATCACTCAATCATTCGACTAATCGTGACACAAGTACGATTTTATGTCAATTATTCCTCAAAATCACATCTTCACACAGGTTTTTTCACCTCGTACTATATTTCACAAACGATGTTTATGCAGGTACACTCTGGTTAAAATAAAGTTATAGGATAATGTTCAGTCAGATAATAAATTGCCGCTGTAATAGGGCTCCGTAGGGTGGCAACTTGTACAGATGAACTGCTGTCATAAAAACAAAAGAGAGTCGACAGTTTGTGACGTGTAGACGGGAACAAAAACACATTCTTTTGTTCCGAGCATTGACTCTCAATAAGCAGAAATACTGTGTTTTTTTAAGTCCTAAAGTGAACCGACATGTTTGATATTGGAAGCATTTATTATGAGTCTGTCACTGACTGTCAGATATGGAAGGCAATGGGAGGATCTCCTGTCGGTTGGGACGAGATAACTACAAAGGTTACATCCATGTCTGCTTCTTCATGACAACTACAGTGGACTGCATTGTCTAATATTCAACAGATAAGAGGACCGACCTCCGATGACGATTGTAATGGAAATTGAGGGTGGGGGGAGGGGGGAAAGAACATTGAATGAAACTTCGACCGAACATTGCTACGTAGTTTTAAGCATGCTGTTGTAGGAGTTACTAACAAATGAACCTAAAATATCGTTGAACTGAAAGATATATTTAACATTTTACGAGGAGCATATTTTATCTGTATTTGAAAATACAATCGGTGCTTTCAAGACAATATATCACATGTTCTTTATGATACAAACCCCTCATATTAATTTGATAGACGAAGTTTTGGGTAATTGATTATTTATGCTGAGGTTTAAGAAATTGAGACGATGGACAATGCCCAAGAGATGAATCATACACTCAGTGTTATGTCATCGTCAGAATCCTGTCTGGGTTTAAGAAATTGAGACGATGGACGCCCAAGAGATGAATCATACACGCTGTGTTATGTCATCGTCAGAATCCTGTCTAGAGACATCTCTGAGTATAACGCTCCTTTTGTAAGCACACACGACTTGCGAAATTCTTTTGTCCCACGCCGTTGACTTGAGAGCGGAATTTATTTTTCTGAAGAGGTCATTGTGTAATGATGTGAAATACTGTACGGAGCGGAATTTATTTTTCTGAAGAGACCATTGTGTAATGATGTGAAATACTGTACGTTGTATTAGTTTCAAAGTAAAAGTGTGGCATGGGATAAGTGGACCTGTTTGCAAAGTGTATTTATCCGAATTTCCTTCTTAATAGTTTCGGGTCTCCTCGCCGTTGAGTTATTACCCAAATTTTACTTTGTCACACAGTGAGTCGCCATACAGTTCATGTATCACAAGGGAACAAAAGGTTTTTGGTACGATACATGTCAGATTTGTCTCAGAGCATAACTTTTTTTTCTTTTTTTAAGAATTTGGTATGAGCACAGGTTGAACCCTGAAGCTGGGTGTCTTTTGATTCCCCGCTCTTTCCAGTTTTAATTAGTTCATACTCATCATGGTAAGAAGTTCGCTCCTAACTTTATTCTAAGCCAGCTCACTTCATCCTGCCATATCTGTTTCAGAAATTTATGTTCGCGTAACTTCAATTTATAATCACTCGAAACAGTGAGAGATCAATACGTTATTAATTCAAGCGTTTCGGCAAACATTCCTGTTGACATCTTCAGGTGTGAATGTGTAATGATTTTGCCGAAACGCTGGAAAATCTTTAACTTTCTACGAAAATTAGATTAACACACACAAACGTAAGGATAAGAATGGAGTTGTTTTATTGACGCCATGTCTTGATGTGTTCACTGCAGAAGAACCATACTCTCCATTTCAAATCCGATACAGGGCAAGTATTTAGTATTCCTGTTTCGTATTCGGGTGATCTCTGGTTCAAATCAGGATCCGGACACCGGCCACACTGAATAAAGTTTTGTGTCGTCAGTTCCTCCAGGAAAATGCCGGGACTCACTTTGAATTAGGCCACGACTGCCTTCTTCCGCATCCTCCCGTCTATAAAATTACCTATTTCTTCAGGTTTTACAAATCAGATTCTGTGTGCATTTCTATCTCTCCCCTGAAAAGTACATGCCTCGTGTATTCCATTCTTCTTGATTTGACTATTCGATAACTTATTT